ATTTTTTTGGGTGCATTTGTTTAATTCTGTGAAGCTGTGTTACTTTGCTGTCTAAAAACACCTGACTGGTCTAACAAAGAACTGAATGGCCAATAGCTAGGCGGGAGAGAGGGATAGGTGGGGCTGCCAGGCAGTCAGAGAGAATAAATAGGAGAGGACAGGGAGAGGATGACGCCAGGGGCCAGCCACCCACAGCACAGCCAGCTAAGAGTCAGAAGGGAAGAAAGAGATAGAATAGAGAAAGGTAAGACCCAGAGGCAAAAGGTAGACAAGATAATTTAAGTTAAGAAAAGTTGGTTAGAATCAAGCCAAGCTAAGGCTGGGCATAAATAAGAACAAGTTTCAGTGTATTTACTTAGGAGCTGCATGGTGGGCCCCCAAAGAGAAAAGAGTAGAAAAAAACCAACTACATAATTCTTTATTCTTTGGGAATTTCACATCATACACTCCAATCCCACTCACCTTCTAGTCCCTTCATATCCATCACTCACCCCTACAGCACAACCTCCCACTAAGAGAGTCCCCCAAAAGATTAATTAAAAACAAAAAAACCACCTCCCTCCTCCATCCTTACAACACCTCTTCACTCATTCTAGTGGCACTGGGAGCTACGGTGTGCCATGCAGTACACCCTTTTGACCAATCAACCCCACCTACAAAATATTCATTGCAAAGAGTTGCAAAAGTCTGGTTCATGGCCTCTGGCACACCATCATCACTGGACCCTCACTGAAACTCCTCTCAGATATCCTGCTGTTGCTCATAGTCAAGGAGATCCTGCAGCTATCATTCTGCAGGACCAGTGTCTTCACATGCTCCAGCAGGTCATAGATAGGGTGGATCAACCAGAGGCCCAGGATGTGGGCCTGGGTGGTAGCTGAGCTGGTCGATCCAGACCCCTGGGACCACCCTCCTCATGTGAGGGGCAGAGCCATCTCTCCTTGGCTTGTAACATCACAGCCAGCTCTCCCATTTCTGTGATGAGGGGTAGGACATCCTAAGTGCAGGTGGGTCAGAAGGCAATGATGTGGAATATTCCTTTACACTGTGTGAAGATGTGTCACTGTGATTGGTTTAATAAAAAGCTAAATGGCCAATAGCTGGCAGGAGGTATAAGCAGGACCTCTGAACATGGAAAGCTCTGGGAAGAAGAAAGGCAGCGTTGCCAGCCGGATGTGAAATAACCAGGATGGGCATAATGGAGATGAGGTATGGAGAGCATGGAAAAATGTAGACCAACAGCTGTGGAGACTCCAGGGGACCGAATTAGGCTCTACGTGGGAGACAGTTGTGAGGCTTGCACTATCTGAGGGGCCCCTGGCACATGAGCTAGCTTGTTGGAGCTCATTCCCTGTGGTGGGATACCATGCTAGGCTTAATGCATGGGAGAGGGGCTTGGCCCTGATCCAACCTATTGTGTCAGACTTTGTTGACTCCCTATGAGAGCCCTTACCTGTGAGGAGGAGTGGATGGGAGTGGGCTCTGGGGGGAGGAAAGGAGGGCTGGGGGCAAGGGTGGGAGGGAGAACTGTGGTCGGAATGTAAAACGAAATTTAAAAGAATAAACAAATTATTAAACAATATGGATTAACTTAAATTATAAGAGCTAGTTAGAAACAAGCCTAAGCTAAGGTCAAGCTTTCATAATTAATAATAAGCCTCCATGTCCTTTTTGTGAGTTGGTGACCCAAAAAGAAAAGTCTGCCTACAGGGTAGCTCTCCTCTGCAGTGTCCAGAGAGGCAGTGCAGGACCAGTTAGCTATTCCGGGGTCAGGGAGGGGCAGGACCAGCTCAGCATGGCCCTTGGATTCCAATGCACATGGCTCCTATGACTCCCCCTCCTCTGTGCTACCACAGGCCATAGACATTATCACAGACCCCAGCTGCAGCAGGAAGATGGACTCAAACATGGCTCTAGGCAGCAGCTTGGGGTCCAGATATCACCAGGGCCCCAGTGGCAGCACAGGTCACCCAGATCAGTATGACCCTGGTGGCAGCAAGGCCCTTAGACTCCAACATAGTCTCAGATATCATGCCCATTTCTTAAACAATCACTGGCAAGTGAAAATGACACTTTAGGAGGAGCCTAGGTAAAGCCTTGAAGTAAGCCTGAAGTAGAATGATGTTGGAGAAACTAAATACACTAGCCACAATCAAAACTGTTTTCATTCCTATAGCTGTCCTGTCCAATGTGTAAGAGTTCCCATGTTTTCTTGTACTCTAATCAACTCAATCACTCCCATTTTACCCTTTCTTAGGAGCTTGCTTGCCCTTTGTCTGATCACTTTAGGCTCTCCTCTGGGCTCCACATGGATGGCACAGAAGGAACAATGGTGCTGAAATCAGACTTTCTGAGCACATTTCCAATTCCATATCTATGTAATTTTCTGTCTTGTTACCTCAATTTCCTTACTTGAAAAACGGGGAAATCTCATTTATTTACTGTAAAACTTAAAGTGACTTCCCAAGTACAAATGCTTGGGATGAGCTTGACACAATAGTACACTGTGGAGAATGTTAACAGAGCTGATGACAGTGGTGCCCTGAAAGGATGTCTCTCTTCTTCACGGTCATCACATCAGGCCCAGAACATCTTTCTACATCCTTTTCATGAGGGCCAGACATAATCAACTCAAGGCCCATTCTTCCATAAGGTCAACCTGACTGAATTTACCTGACAGCTACCTGTAGGAATGGCCACCAGTGGTAGTTCAGATCAGGTCATGTCCCTGCTCTTCTTACTGTGCCTGAGCATAACTCATGACACCACCACAACAAAAACAGTGTTCCATGAAGACAGGAATGATGCTGTATCTTCTTTTGGCTTATTTTAGCTCATGGAAAGTACTTAAAAGTACTTAAATGTTAGCTTCTGAGGAATCCCCACCCCCCAACAGGGTCACATGTACCTTGGGAAGAGCAGCAAGCTCTTGCTCTAGCTCCTCATAAGCAGAGAGAAGACAAAGAACAAAACTTTCCATTCTCTTCCAATGCTAGGCACCAAAAGAAAAGCTGAAAACTTCAGATGCTACAAATTAATTCCAAAATGACCAGAGATTCCAAATATATCTATTACTGTTTAGATTTGAAACTATAATGTCAAAACATCCTGTTTTTTATTAATTTTTATTTAAATTAAAAACAATCTTATTTATATTACATACCAATCCCAGGTCCCTCTCCCTCCTGTCTTCCCATTCCTCCACTAACCCTCTATCCACTTCCCAGGGAGGGTGAGGCTTTTGATGGGGGATCATCAAAGTCTGTCACATCATTTGGGACAGGACCTGTGTATCTAGGCTGAGAGAGTATCCCTCCATAGGGAACAGGCTCCCAAAGCCCATTTGTACACTGGGGATAAATATTGGTTCCACTGCCAGAAGCCCCATAGACTGCCCAGGTCTCCTAACTAACATCCATGTACAGGTGGCCAGGTTTGGTCCTATGCCGGTTCCCCAGCTGTCAGACTGGAGTCCATGAGCTCCCAGTTGCTCAGGTCACCTAAAACATCCTGTTTTAAACGTAAAAACTATATTTTAAAAATATTCTTATTTGACTACCAATACATTAAAAAAAAAACAATAGTAGGGGCTGGAGAACTGGCTCACTTGGCAGTTTACAACTATCTGTAACTCCAGTTCCAGAAGCTCTGACTCGTGAGTATCAGACATGGTGCACAAGCATCCATTCAGGCAAAACACTTAAACACATAAATAAATCTAAAAAACCAATAATAATTCTAAGAATTGTAGATGAAGGACAAAATTGAAATGGTGTAAATGTGTGACTACATATGCTTTTATTGTCGTGTCTACAGAAAAATTCTTTTGTTTTTGAAACACTGCATGACTTAAAGTACATGTTCTTTGTTTGATTTCTCAAAGTGTATGAAAAGAATATACCTACAAATGAAAACATTATCCAGTGGTGCCCAAAAGCATATTATTTAAAATACAAAATATGGCACTGACTCAACAATGTGGGTTTCATTTAGTCATCTGAGAAAGTCAAGTATGAAGAGAAACTGTGGAATCCCAGACTTAATTCCTATAAAACTATCTATCTAGCACTCAGGAGGCAGAGATAGGTGGATCTCTGTGAGTTCGAGGCCAGCCTGGTCTACACAGCAACTTCCAGGACAGGCTCCAAAGCTACAGAGAAACCCTGTCTTGAAAAAAAAACTAAAAAAAAAATCTATCAAATGGAGAGCCATATGTGGACTCAATTCTCTAATGCTGAAAAAAAGCTTAAGTTACATAAATGCTATATTCTTGGCTTACTTTAGTGGGTATGATTATTTATATATTTAAATGTGGTATTTGTCCTAAATATTACCCATTATGAATTTTCCTACTTGACTAGTTAATGAGGGATGTCCTCTGTATGATGTGACTATGTGTTTTTCTTATTGGTTGATGAATAAAGCTGTTTCAGCCAACGGACAGACAGAATTTAGCAAGATGGGAATTCCAAACAAAGAGACAGGAGAAAAAACATAGGGAGAGAAATGCCATATAGCCACCAGGGAGGCAGGATACCAGGGCATCACCTAAGTAAGACAACGCTACGTAGTGATACACAGATTAATAGAAATGGGTTAATAATTAAGAGAGAGCTAGCCAGCAAAAAATCTAAGCCAATGGCCAAATAATTATAAATAAACACTGAGCCTCAGAGGGTTATTTCATAAGGGCTGAAGGGACCCAGTGGATGGAGAGAAACCAGCTCAAGTAGGACCCAGACTAAATGGAGAAAGTCCCCCTTTACAAGTAGTGTTTCATTCACTCATTCTTGCTTTCTTCTTTTAAAAACAAATGTAGTCCAGAATAACCTGGAATTGGCTAACTAGGTAAAAGTGATCTTGAACTCCTGACTCTGCTGCCTTCATCTTCCAAGTGCTAGAATTACAGGTTCATTTCTTCTCTATAGAGATATTCAGTATTAGATAAGAAAAGGAGGAGAGGAGGAAGAATGAGAGAAAAACAAAGTCACATGTCTTACTTGGATTGTGCAAGGCAACCTGGTGCAATCACGTTCTGGTTTTCCTCCACGGTCTGGACAGCAGTGAGCTCTGCCATGTTGACCATCACATCGTTGGTGTGCCCTGGAAGCTGTGGAAGCACTGAAATGATCTTCTCTACCAAGTTGTCTCCATGATGCCCAACTGCTCCTGTTTAAACATACAAGCATATGTAAACTCAAAGCAAACAGAAAAACATTGATTGGATGCATGCTTGAAAGCGTCCCTTCCCCAAAAAAACAACTGATGATTAATAACACCAACTTAGAATTTTGCTGTTTGTCATATAAGTCATGTTCTCAATGACCTAGGCAAGGTGTGCCTCATGGACTGAATGCAATGTTCATGAAAATGGGCTTCTCATCTGCTTTGATTACTGCTCTATCTCCAGCACCTACTATAGTGAGCAAACATAGCAGCATCCATAACTATTTGCTAAGAAAATTACCAACTTGTAGTCAATTGGTTAGCTATTGTTATAAGTGATGCTATCCTTAAATTCTGAAGCTGAATTCTATTTTTATTTTGATGATGAATACACAATGACCAGGAAAAGCTTGGGGGATCAAGTAGGAAAAAGAGATTTTCCTGCCACTACAACCTTATCTCTGTGATGACAGAGATGCCCTTGCTCTACTTTATCTGGTATCCACCAGCTCTAGCACAGAAAGGCAACCAGCAGGCTCTGACTAAATATTTGTTGAAGAAGAAGAGTAAGTGGACACAGAGTAACAGCCTCCAACAAAACAACCTTCACCAACATTTATTGAATGCTTTTTGTATCTGTATACCAAGCATTGCTCCAAGATCTGCTGTTATACCTATCAACTCCAGAGATAATGGATGAACAATGGGCTGAGGATGCAGCTTAAGTGGTACATTGTTTGTCTAGCATGCATGAAGCCTGGAGGTTTCCAGTACCACATAAAATTGAGTGGTGATGGCCCATGCCTGTAATTCTAGCACTTAGGAAATGGAGGAAGAACATTCAGAAATTCAAGATCAAATTCAGCCAGGCAGTGGTGGTACATGCTTTTAATCTCGGCACTCCTCAGGTGGTAGACACAAACAGATCTCTGTGAGTTTGAAGCCAGCCTGGTCTACAGAGTGAGTTCCAGGACAGGCTCCAAAGCTACAGAGAAACCCTGCTTCAAAAAACAAAAACAAAAAAATCAGATTCAGCTACACAGTGATTTTGAGACCAGCCTAAACTACACGAGACCCTATCTGAATAGTGATAATCAAAATTATAATGATAAACATACTAAAACTGAAGACAATGATACAGTCAATGCTTTCTATAAAATTACATTCTCTCTAAAATCCATCACTGCTTGGAAGGCCTCACTCCAACAATGGATGGGACTTGGCACAGCTACAAGTCTCAGTCAATTCCAGTCTGCTCACATGTTGCTTCCCAATGCTTCCCTGTCTCTCTGTGTTTAGGTATGTCATATTAATAGGACAAATCCAGAATCTGAGAAACCATCACTATAATCATCCTCACTCACTGCAGCAACTCCTTCTTACCCAGGGCTCGTGATGTATCACATCCCAAATTCTATGCTGTGAATTTATAATTTATAGTTAATTATAACAACAAACCTTAGGTACGAACAAATATGCTTATTCACACAGTAAAGATTCCATTTTAAATTACCTGCTTAGGATCCAGTAAGATGTCTTTTGAACATTAATTCTCAAACAACTACAATTCTATATATTTTTTAAACCTTGGAGCTTATTAACTGCCTCTTAAGGGCAAGAAACTATCTAGTCATCACTGTCTTGCTAGCACCAGGAACAGTGCTGACACAGTGGACATCCAATTAAGGTTTACTAGAAAAGATTTGAGGTAATACTGTTTTCAACAAGGTGATGGCAAAATGATAAGAAAATTGTCTATATTTAAACACAAATATTAACTATCAAATACTTGGCCAAGAATGGTGACACACATAAGTAATCCCAGACCCTGAAAATGGAGGCAGGAACTATAAGAACTATAGTTAACCTGAAAGCCCCATTTGTTCAAGGAAAGATAACTTCCTATAATGTTGGGGGCTAAGGTTCACAGGAATTAACAAGCAACATATTTTTGCTCCCCTAAACAAGTTTGTTTGCTCTGAAATATTTGACTGGTTGTGGGCAGGAAGAACATAGGCAGGAAATATGTCAGGATTTATGCTTGCCCTGATTGGACTTGATGGGAAATGTGGTGCCCTTTTGGTTTTGCCTTTTTTTTTTTTTTTTTTGGTTTTTCAAGACAGGGTTTCTCTGTACTATGGTTTTGCCTTTTTAAGCCTCTGCATAATATGACTCATGACCATTTTCTCAGAACCCAGAAATGGACCTGGACAGATTCCATCATCCTGACCCGTATTTAATTAAAGCTTGCTTCATATTTGCTTTAAAAAATGTGGAATGGGTCTTTTTCTCATGATTTTCAGATTAGCAGGTGATCAGTGTTCAAAGTCATCTTCAGTTACATAACAAGTAAAGTCCATGTGAGACCCTATTTCAAAAAAAATACACAATTTTTCTATTCTATTTTGAAATTTCTTGTTTCACATATAAGTACATAATTCATCTAATGGTAAATTATTAAGAATAACCTCCAAAAAATTACTAGTGTGTCATATAAATTGTATATAAATGAACAACTAAATTTACTTTTGATACCTATTTAATACATTTTAGAGCAATTTAAATTAAAATTAAAATCCAAATCATTTAAGTCACTCTAATCATTTCCAAATTGCTTCTTAATTTTTGAAAAAAAAATTTTGCTGCATGACTGTTAGAATCATCATCTAATTATTATTTTATTTAGGTTAGAAACAATCTTGTTTCACATGTCAATCCCAGCTCCCTCTCCCTCCCCTCCTGCTCCCTCTCCCTTCCATCCTCCCTCCCCTCCTCCCACCCCTCCTCCCCACACTCCTCCCCACCCTCCTCCCCACCCTCCCCAGCAGGTCCCCCAGTCTCCCACCCAATCTCTACTCCAATCCCCAGGTAGGGTGAGGCCCTCCATGGCGGATCTCCAGTAACTGTCATTTCATCCAGGACAGGGCCTAGGCCCTCTCCTAAGAGTTCTGGGTGAAAGAGCCTCCCATATTGTGGCATGGGCACTCAAAGTCTATTTGTATGCCAGGGATAAATACTACCCAAGGCCCCATAGATTACCTAGGCCTCCTCACTGACACCCACATTCAGGGGGTCTGGATCAGTCCCATGCTTTCATAGCCATCAATCTGGAATCCAAGAGTTCCCCCCTTGTTTAGGTCAAGTGTTTCTGTGGATTAAGCCAGCCCACTCTTAACTCCTTTGTCCATCAGTTCTCTATTTCTCACACTGGATTCCAGGAGTTCAGTTCAGTGTTTGTCTGTGGGTGTCTGTCACTGGATGAAGGTTCTGTTTCCTAGACTCTTTGGCAGTGGGATTGTATGCTGGGACTCCCTTGATTCATGTCTAAAATCCATATATGAGTGAGTACATACCATGTTTCTCTTTTTGTGACTGCGTTACCTCACTCAGGATGGTTTCTTCTGGTGCCATCCATTTGCCTGCAAATTTCAAGATTGCATTGTTTTTTTTTTCTGCTTAATAGTATTTGATTGTATAAATGTACCATATTTTCTCTATCCACTCTTTAGTTGAGGGGCATTTAGGTTGCTTCCAGGTTCTGGCTATTACAAATAATGCTGCTATGAACATAGTGGAACAGACATCCTTGCTATATAAATGTGCATCTTTTGGGTATATGCCTAAGAGTGGAATTGCTGGGTCTTGTGGTAGCTGATTCCCATTTTCCTGAAGAATCTCCATACTGATTTCCAAAGTGGCTGTACAAGTCGGCACTCCCACCAGCAGTGGAGGAGTGCTCCCCTTTCTCCACATCCACTCCAACATAAACTGTCTTTGGAGTTTTTGATTTTAGCCATTCTGACATCAGTGAGATGGTATCTCAAAGTTGTTTTGATTTGCATTTCCCGGATGCCTAGGGATGTTTAGCACTTTCCCAAGTATCTCTCATCCATTTTAGTCTCCTCTACTGAGAATTCTCTATTTATTTCTGTAGCCCACTTTTTAATTGGATCCTTTGGTGTTTTGGAGACTTGCTTCTTGAGTTCTTTGTAAATTTTGGAGATCAGCCCTCAGTCAGATGTGGGGTTAGTGAATATCTTTTGCCTTTTTGTCTTGCTGACTGTGTCCTTTGCCTTACAGAAGCTTCTCAGTTTCAGGAGGTCCCATTTATTAATTGTCGATCTACTGTGCTACTGGTGTTATGTTCAGAAGTGGTCTCCTGTACCAATTCGTTCAAGTGTACCTCCCACTTTCTCTTCTAACAGGCTCAGTGTGTCTGGATTTATGTTGAGGTCTTTGATCCATTTGGACTTAAATTTTGTGCATGGCAATAGACATGGATCTATCCCCATTCTTCTACATGCCAGAATCCAGTTATGCCAGCACCATTTGTTAAAGATGCTTTCTTTTTTCCATTGTATATTTTTAGCTTCTTTGTCGAAAATCAGATGTTCATGCTTGTATGGGTTAATATGAAGGTGATCAATTAGATTCCATTGGTCTACCTGTCCATTGTTGTGCCAATACCAAGCTGTTTTCAGGACTACAGCTCTATAATAGAGCTTGAAATCAGGGATGGTGATGCCTCTAGATGTTACTTTGTTGAATAAGGTTGTTTTGGCTATCCTGGGTCTTTTGTTTTTCTATATAAAGTTGATTATTGTTTTTTCAAGGTCTGTGAAGAATTGTGCTGGGATTTTAATAGGGATTGCGTTAAACCTGTAAATTGCTTTTGTTAAGATTGCTATGTTTACTATGTTGATCCTACCTATCCAAGAGCATGGACACCTTCTGATGTCTTCTTTGATTTCTTTGTTTAAAGACTCAAAGTTCTTGCTATACAGGTCTTTCACTTGTTTGGTTAGCATTACCCCCAGGTATTTTATGTTGTTTGTGGCTATTGTAAAGGGCAATGTTTCTCTGATTTCTTTCTCAGCCCTTTTATCATCTGTATATAGTAGGGCTAATGATTTTCTTGAGTTGATCTTGTATCCTGCCACTTTGCTAAAAGTATTTATCAGCTGCAGGAGTTCCCTGGTAGAGTGTTTTAGGTCACTTGTGTA